AAAATCCGTGTCCCAGGAAGCAATTGAGAAGCAGAAGACTCGATCGCTGGAACAGCGATCGAGTCTTCTTCTTCTCAAATATTACTTTGCACAGGGACAGTTGAACAAGGAGCTGCAGTGCAAAGGACTGCCGCAAATCATCAAGCCGCAGTCTCGCACACAACTTTGCTCCATCTTCAGATTCGACTTAGTCAAGATAACCCTATTCTCCGGACTATAAGCACACTAAAGTGTCCTTAATTTTCGCAAAAAAGACAGCCCACCTTATAACCCGGCGGGTTTTATATTTCGATTGATTCCGTTTCCTGACCTCTAAGCGATATTGTGTGGTAAATGACGCTGTGGTAAACTATTGTCAGGAGCGTCGCGGAAATTAAAGGTTTTTGAGTGCGCCTTATAGGCCAGAAAATACGGTATTTTAAAAATCGGCAACCTCAAGTCGCGGGTTAGTGAATCTTGGTGTTCCGGTTGGTAGTTGGTCATTGAATGAGGTTTCCACTTTTTCATTGTAGCACTTTTATTACGTGAGTAGTGTACTTAACCACCTGGTTTACTCCGAGAAGAAGATATGGGAGAGGGTGACCACCAAATCGTTCTCCAGTTTATCGTTCAATTTGTAAATGAAGGCCCAATGACGAACAAACCGAAGGTAGCCGTAAGATAAGTATCATCCAGTTAAACGCAACGACGATGAAGGCTCCTTCTTTGATGAGTAGCATGCTGCCTGATAGCTGGTGTCAGTGTGGTGGTATAGCAACCACTATCCAATAAATAGGCGATCTTCTTTTGCCTTCAACTGACTTTTCTCTGCCTGTGATACGGGCTTCAAATATAAGCCGGATTTTCTAACGAACAGCTTTCCTTTTTCAGCAGTCTTTTCAAGTACAAACATGTGAATTTATTTTTTTATCTGTGAGTCGCTTTATCTGCACGACGTGATCTGCAAATTCCACATCGCTTGAGCTTTTTACTTGCACAGACTGCCATTTCCATTATGTAGGTATGCTCTAAGTTTCTATTTAAACCGTTCTTGCCGCATGACTAGTCAACGTGTAACAGCCGTCTCTGAGTCTCTGCCTCTGGAGTAAAGCCTCATCTAGGGTTTTGTTTAATAGCTGCCAAAACTTACCTGCCCCCTGTGCAGTCGCAGACGTTTGGCACGTCAGGCTACAGATTTGGCATTCCTTCTGAACTATTCACACAGCCCACATACCTCGTTCACTGTCCATTTCGTAAAGCTCTAGTGTCCGTGTATTAGACGTTTTGAAGGTACTTGCCACTTCATTGATCTGCTAACCGGTGCGTACAATGAAAGCCAAGAATTACCACTGCCAGTAGGTTTCAAAAAGTACTTATAGATTGGAGTGAAAAGTTCGTTCTTTTTCATCCTGTGTTTCAGACTGTTATCAGAATAGACAGATTCAAACACATTCTGGGAAACCTTTACGGAATACCGCCGAAATAAGAACTCTGAAAATCGATATTTGCACGTCAACCTGTTCTTTACCTGTATTGGCTTCAAGAGAATTTGTCAAACAAAAAATTTTTATGCTTTGGCTTGTCCTTGGAAGAACTTATGACTTCATTAAATCGCTTGTATTTTTCAGGACTGTTCAGTGGAGCCCGTAGAAGGCGTAATCGAGCTCGGTCAAACGGCGAAAATTACCTTTCATGTTCATGGAGGACCCGTGGCCAAATTTTTTGATATGGATTTTGTTTGCAAGGTAGGTTTCAGTCACGGCTTCTCCAAACGACATTTTAACCCTTCATGAAGACTTCCTGTTTCCGATGACTAGATTTTTCACAAAGAACAAGAAAATTAATTTTGCAGCTGGACAAATTGCACGCAACTAAGGGCCATTTGGGTTTGTCGCCATTCGAACTTCAATAAATCTATCGCAGGGGGTTAAGTATGTTAAAACCTAGCAACTACGATCTTCAAACCATGGTTCCTTAGGAGAGAAGGAGTCGGTGGAGGCCAAAATAGTA